CCCCCCCGATTATCCCTCTTATACAACTTCAGAGTTCTTCAATGATCCGTCTTCCCTTTGTGAGCCTTGCGTGGGCCAAATTCAAGCGCGTGAGACACGTACTAATACTCCTCTTTCTCTTATCTTTGCTCTTCCTCTTGGATTTGAAGCACGAGGAACAAGAGGCCAACCTTTCCGGTGGTGATCTCTTGGGCGTAGAAAGTGTCAGTGGTTTCATTCAAGGCCTGTTGGACAAGTTACCTCTCGCAGCCAACCAGCACAGTAAAGAGGGACACCCGGAAGATGCCGAAACCCCCTCTGAAAACAAACCGGTGAAACCAAAACTACCACCGTTGTCCAACCACGATAAGATCAAAGCCAGTGCTAAGGCAGAAGCAGTCAAGCCATTAGTGAACCCTGGCGACCATGGAAAATACTACGCCTTCGAAGATATGAGTGCTGCTGCTATTGACGAAGACGAAGGATTACCGAAGAAGAAGAAAAAACCGGTGGCTATCCACGAATTCCGGTACCCATTGTCACAGACGGTGACATTCCCGCTGGAGACTGACGCGGCACCCGCCCCGGAGTACAAAATCCAGTTTGACTTCCCGGAAACCTCATCCAACAAAACGGCCCTAACCACAATCCGCAAACAGTTTATCAAGGACTGGCTCACCTACAAAAAGTATGCTTTGGGGAAAGACGATGTGAAGCCGATTTCGCAAACGTTCCACAACACGTTCAACGGCTTGGGGTCTACTCTTATCGATTCTTTAGATACCCTCTACCTCATGGGCTTGCACGACGAGTTTCTGGAGATGGTGGCCCTAGTGAGCAAGATTGACTTTACGAAAAAATTGGTTGCCGATGACTCCAGTGGCGAGCTCCGTGTGTTTGAAATCAACATCCGAATCTTGGGCTCATTACTTTCATCGTTCGAGCTATCAAACGAGAAGAGATTGTTGAAAAAAGCCTCTGAGATTGGCGAGTTGCTCCTCAAGTCCTTTGACACACCTAATCACTTTCCGAATCTCTACTGGAACTTGAAGTTTCACCAGCAAGTGGAAGGCCGTATGACCGAAATTCCGTCCCACCACGCGGCTCTCTCCGAATTGGGTACCTTAAGTTTGGAATTTATCAAACTCTCCCAGTTGACGGGTGACAACCGATACATGACAGTAATTGACCTCATCATGAAAAGTTTTATTGCGTTTGATAAAAAGTACAATGACGGAAAAAAGGGTCTTCCTGGCCTCTTCCCTACAGAGTTAAACCTTAACGGTTGTGAGGCCATTATCAGTGCGGATGGCTACGAGAAGCTAAAGACTCTGCCAACCTACAATGACTTTTCTTACCAAAAGTTGAGAAACGGTGGTTCGGGCTTTAACAACGTCCACTACTGTATGACCAGCAAAAACGCAGGTGGTTATGGTAGCATCGCACCATCCCTCCCCAATGCGCTCTCGTATTCCACTGGTGGCCTTGCGGACTCCTTCTACGAATACCTTTTAAAGACATACGACCTTTTCCGCGGGAAGTATCCTTTCGCGTTGGAAAGCGATACTTTGCCCGCTCCTTCATTAAACGCTCTCGTGCAGCTGTCCTTTAGCTCGATGAAGGACTTTATGATATTCCGGCCGGCATTGCCTCGCAAGAACGCTAGGTACACGGACGTTTTGTTGATGAACGAAGTGACCATGTACAACACCGGCCGCGCTTTAAGGAAGGTCAAGAAATACAAGATGAATCACCTTAACTGCTTCATGGGCGGAGCCTTTGCGATATATGGGAAAATCTTCCATGGTCCATCCTTCGTGGACACCGGTGCCGGGGTGACAAAGGGCTGTCTAGAAGTGACAAACCAGATAGGGATAATGCCAGAATCGTTTGTCGTTGATGCGTGTCCCGCTGAGGGGAACTGCGGATTTGATTATGAGAAGCGAATCGACTGGATTAAGGGCCACACCGAGAGTGGATACCGCTCGACCAAACAGCTGGAATCGGCCATAGACGATGAGTTTGAAACGGCCCCCCATAAAATCCCTTTTTCCCCTTTAAAAGACAGGCCTGTTAAGAACTCAAAGGCGCCAGAGTACCAATGGACCGTTGGCGAGGTTGCGGACCAGCCGCTATGGATTTCGGAGATGGACGCCCTGTACGCGTTGAGACCAGAGATTATTGAGTCCGTCTTCATTATGTACCGCACAACTGGTGACCCCTACTGGCGGGAACAGGGCTGGTGGTTGTACCAGAAGATCATCCAGAGCTGTCTGTTGCAGCTTTCCGACGAGTCAGGGTTGGTAATTTCTGGTATCAAAGACGTTACCCGGATTGGCTTGAACCAAAACACGAAAGCAAATAGAATCGATTTGATTGAGAGTTTTTGGTTCAGCGAAACGCTAAAGTACTTTTACTTGTTGTTTGCCGACGAGAACAAGATCTCTTTGGATGACTATGTGTTCAACACTGAGGCTCATCCATTCAAGAAGATTCTGATTTGACACTAGATGAATAAATGTATGATCCAGCAATATCCTGTAATAAGCTACCCCTGTCGTAGATAAGAGTATTGTTGGTCGCAAAGAGGGGGAAAAAAAACTGCCTCCAGCCAGATTCGAACTGACGATCTCCTCATTACTAGTGAGGTGCCTTACCAACTTGGCCATAGAGGCTGAAATTTGAGGTGTATATTTTACTTATGACTGTCAAACCGATGGTTTTGTTATAGCACGACCTGAGCTGTAGACTCTGCAACTTCTGCCTCCAAAAGAGTCTACAGGGCCTACTTGTACGAACCACCCAATGCACCGTCATAGTACAGCGAAATGGCAGTTTCATTTAAATGGCCCTGGCTAGGCGTAGCGGTAAGTTTCCCCATCTCCCGGTTGCTCCCTCCCTCATTTCCTAACCTTTCAGATTCCATGCCTCTTGATTGCGTCAATAGGGTACGGCTCGCACTTCTTTGTATTCAGAAAGCACTTTTCAGTCGAAAAGCAGATGGGATTCCAGCTTGCCTTATCCATGATCTGGCTTTCGTACTACCTTGCGATTAAGAAAAGTCCCGGCTCTCCGCCACAGAATTTTAAGCCGGTGAAAGGCGAATGGCGCCGATGGTGCAAAAAGTGCAGGGGCTACAAGCCAGAACGAACCCACCACTGCAAGACCTGCCGCACTTGCGTGTTGAAGATGGACCACCACTGTCCCTGGACGTACAATTGTGTTGGTTTTGGTAACTACGCCCACTTTATCCGGTTTTTGGTGTGGGTAGACGTCACTACGTTTTTTGTGATGTGCGAGTTGTTCAAGCGCGGTTTGCAGTTTTACCACGACCGGGCAATGCCGGCCTACTTGTATGACATCAAAGAATTGACGGCTGTGATGGTCTTTTTGCTTCTAGACTTCTTGGTGCTCTTCACCGTCGGGATCTTGACGATTAGATGTCTCTACAACATTGCCACCGGCTACACCCAGATCGAAAGCTGGGAACGGGAGAGAATCGACAGCCAAATCCAGAACGGGAGAATCTGGAAGCAAATCTCCAAAAACTACGAGCAGCTCCATGGAAAGAAAATGCCCAAACTTGTATCGTGGAATGCCTCGTGGATGGCGCGGGAAGCGGAAGCAAGCAGAGAGGTGGAACGCGACGATGACGAGCCTGAAGTGGACTCCAACTTCTGCATCGACGATATCATCTTCCCCTATGACGTTTCCTTCTTTGGAAACATGACCGCAACGCTAGGCCCGTTCCACACGTGGATGCTTCCGTGGGGTGGGCCAACCTCCAACGGCTTGCACTTTAAGAAAAATGAGTACGTGGACGACGACCAACTAGGCTTGCCGTGGCCAGCCGACGGAGGGCACCAAGAAAAGCCGGAAGAAGATATCATGCATGAAATCACCACCAGAAGCGGAAAGGTGTTCAGGCGGAAGTGGAAGAAGGACCCAAGGGAGAATTTGAGCCGCAAAGAGTGGTTTAACGACTTTGGTGAGACGTTGAACGACTTTGGGGTGGATGTGGAGGCCGAAGATGAGGAAAACGATGAACTTATAAGGTGAGACTCTGGAGTTATTAATTGCCCAAGCTACTAACCATCGGTATATTGAATGACAGGGCACGGTAGTTTATTTAGATCCTTTTCTTGGGACACGTGTATGCCGAGAGATTGTTCGATATGGCTAGTTTTTGGTAGCTTTGCAAAACATGGCAAGTAATGTCTTTTTTTTAAAGCTCTTCTTTCGTGGAATACATAAATACATGTATATACTATAGAGTATGACTTGGTAAAGGGGCCAATGACGGTCAATTTATCGCCACCATGGTCAGACAAGGTCTAGCTATGGACGACATAATTTACTTGTTTTTGTCTCCTTACTGGTGGAACATCATTAAACGACTCGGGCTACAAATTATGTAGTCAAATCAAGACTATAAAAGCTGTCTCGTTATTGGCAAGCTATCTCCCCTGCGCTCAGGTTTAAACCCACTCTAAAGATTGAAACTATAATCAAGTTTAGGCTTCATTACTATCATTTAAATCTGCTTATTTATGTGAATCATATGTTATATGCCATTATTTGTATACCATAATTTGAAAATGACCAGCATTGTGAATGCTCTTCAGAACTCGCATCTTCAGGTCTTTGTCGCGCTTTTCGCCGCACAACATTTCTGCAGTTCCATCTCCACCTCTTCAAACATCCTTCCCAGCTACTCATCTCATTATACCCCCATGTCCTCGCAATTGATCAAAAACGCGCTCTTAGACGTGATACCCACGTTTGAAGGACCGTTTCCACCACAGCTCGTGAGCTATACCGACACGTTGTACAATACCACATCCCAGAAGCTTGGCAATTTGAAGAGCCTTGAGTTTGCCAGATTGCATGTCTGCGCGTACTTAGCCGTTGAACTCTTGCGCGCCAAGCTAGACCTCCCAGAACCACGCACAAACAAAGTTCCTGTGCCGCCGCGAAAACTCCAACCGTTGCTCCAGGACTTCCGTGCAGCCATCTTCTCCAAGTCCGCACCCGTCTCCCCTGCCAAACGCTCCGCGCCGTCTACCCCACTGAAATTTCCAAAACGGCCCCACGGCAGTTCCTCCACCGCCGATGGCACTGTGAGCCCGCTCTTGCAGAGGCTTCTCGAGGAGGGAAACCAGGATGACGTTATCACGCCGCTTAAACGTGGGCCCGGGAGACCGAGACTTTCCCAAACCCCGCTCCTCTCTGTTTCCAAGAGGTCCGAAATGTCCCCTTTCAACGATGAATCACCCTTCAGAGATGTCGATTCTCCAGTTCAATCTCCTCGACGGGGTCCGGGAAGGCCCAGACGCGATTCTGCTGTCGATTCACTTGAGGCAGATGCGTCTCCGCGGAGAGGGCCAGGCAGACCCAGGAAGCAGTCTTCGCCAGTAAAAGACGGTGAACCCGTCAAACGAGGACCGGGCAGACCCAGAAAAGACAATTCTCCGCTCGTGCTGCCATCTAAAGGTGCACTCCCCCTCACCCCGAAGAGGGGCCCAGGGAGACCCAAAAAGAGCGAATCTCCCTTTTACGCAGAGATAGGTACTTCACCGCTCAAGAAGCCCCAGACCCCGAACAAACTCGCCGGAGACTTTGCGCAGATTCTCTCGCCGTTGAAGCGGATTAATGAAAAAGTGAGGAGCGATGAGGTGATTGCGTTGTGCAACAAGTTCAAACTCCCTCAGGAAGCGGCTCTCGGAATTCTCGCATCTTTTCGGAAGTACGGAAACCGTATCAAGAACGAGTGGGCAATTTTGTGTGGCTTGATCGCCATAGCCTACTTTCGAATTTTCAAAACCTACATTGCTGCCAATGTGGGGGCCAGAAACAGGTTTTTAGAACGCTTACACCAATACCAGCGTGGCGGGCTCATCAAGCCGCAGATGGTCCAGTGGATCAAGTTCACCGAGGAGTTGTGTGCCTGCGAAAAGTGGGTGCGCAACTTGGAACTCAAGTATAACTACAGGCTGGACTACGATGTTATTAAGGGCAGCATGATTCTGCCAGCGATGCGCTACTCTGGAGCTGCGATATCTTCTGAGTATGAAGAATGGAAGCACAAGCTCATGAACGATTTGGATTTGATTGAATGAGAAGGTGTAGCGTATGGCTATGATTGTAGATTTACGTATATCTTATTTAACTAGTAACGCATGAGGATAATTTATCCTTGTAGAGAATCTTTACGTAATCCGCTTATCAGCGTTCAACTAGGATATAGACGCCTGTTCTATTTTCCACCTTTGAAGCTGGTTTGGTATAATGTCTGTCCTGCTGCCTCGATTTGGGGTAAAAGCTGGTGTTTGCAATGAGATTTAGGATGGTATATGTTTAAAACAGTAGCTCTGGTGGTAATGTGGCCTATACCTATAACTCTTGTTTTGGGATCTCGAAGGATAACAAGACATAAATCTCGAATCGTGTACCGTACAGATATAAGTGGCAACTATGTCTATTCTTGGAATCCTATAAACAATTATCTAATCCTCCTTGTCGCTCAAGATATAATCGTTTAGAATCGCTTCGGACGAGTCTTTCTCCATGGGCCAGACAAAGCCGGCGCTGGTGATACCACCCAAGGTGACGATACACCCGTAGCATAAATCGGCTTTTTCGCCACTGCCCTTCTCTTCAACCACTCTTTCAGCCATATACTTTGCGTGGACAGCTCTCTCTTCGTCAGTTGTTAACTCCGACGGCGTGTTTACGGTGATGTTGCGCAACCAGCTCTTGGGGTCATGGTGAATCACGGCTTTACACACGCGACATGTGTTGGTGGTACCAGCAGTTGGTGGCACAAGCTTATCAGCGGTCTTCACTACGGTAGAAACAACTGAGGCATAGTCAGACTCCACCATTTCGAAGTAGGCGGACGTGATCTCACCTATGGTCATGTTCTTGGTAACTGTGGACACGGGAATGCTGCTGGTAAGGGTAAAAACTCCCAAAGTCATTAATTCCGCGTACTTGTCGACCTCAGACTGCAAAATGTCTCTCAACGGATGAATGATCTGGATCTTGCGATCCCTATAGGAAACTTCACCATCAGTAAGGGCCTCCGCAACCAAAGACCCACGGCCCTTGACTGTCAAAGATATAACGTCATTTGCTAAACGCGACATGTTGTGCCCGTATAGCACCGTTCCACAGTTCTCCAAGTAGGCCGTGCGGAGCACCAACTCGCGGTAAATGATGTGTAACAAGTCTTCGCGGGAGGACTTGTTCGGACAACGGTCCAAAAGATCCGCAATTCGGAAATCCTCGGCGCTGAAATCCTTCACTATAGCGGAGAAGTCATCGTAGAGACTGATTCGTGCCAAAAGCGCCTGGTTATTGACGAAAGAGCTCAAGCTCAACACCTTGAAGGTCAAGTTGGGGTAGCGTACCTTCATCAACGGCACAATCTCACGGGCAGACTGTGTGAGGGAATTTGTGGTGTGCTCGTCAATATTAAGGATTACCAACTCAAAGCCCTGCTTTCCATGGTGCATTCCCGCTTGTTCCTTCAACATCAGCAGAATAATGTCCAATAAGGCAAGCGACGAGACCCCAAAAGACAACGCCAAGAGAACACGGGTGACGTTGTTTTCGGCCTTTCCGTACTTTACCTTGAACTTTTCGTCTTGCATCTGCTTCCGCTGCTTACCCCCGATGAAGCGGGCAAAACACGTTCTGGCTGTTAGTATGGACAGTAAGGCGGAGCTGGTGGTACGTACTTGCAGAACTTTTCCTTCCTGGAAATGAGGATAGCGGCTTCAGTCTTGCATCTGGAGCATGAACCGTTGATATCAGACATAGTTGTATTTGATTGTAGGCTCAGGGCAATTGGATACTCAGCAGAATGAGTGTAATTTGTGATGATCACAGCCTGCACGGAGTTGTAATATTTTTTTCAGTGCGGCTCAGATGTGGATGCCATGGTCGGGCGAAAACAGTGAAAAGTCTAAACGATGGCGATCTGGCACCAAAATTGTGATTTTTATATTGATATTTAAGCACTACCTTGTTGAAACAGTGGAGTGTTTGAGGGGTAGTTAGTTTGTAGCTTTCTCGTAAAAAGGCTCGTATTTTTGTCCAGTATTTCCATCCACTTCTGGCATGTTGTCACATGAGACTTTTTTTTTCCCCTTAATATCAAGTGGCATGGTGCGTTGCAAGGTGAATGTGGTATATCCTAGACTACACACGACCTTATGCTGATATGAGATACCGCCAGCAAATTACACGCCACGGTAACCTGTGGTTTTTAGATTTAAAATAATGTGGTAACGGATGCTCCCGTTTATATACCCCTTCATCCTTCTATACACTCATAATGAAGAGGAAAGGGAAATAGGTTTGTGCCAGTCTCCAACAGCCCTTGGCGTGCTTATGTAATCACCGATTCTTCTAGATCTTATTTTTTTTTTTGCATTCTGCATCTCAACGGCAGATCTCACTGCCCTTTATGTTTGCCATTTTCAAAGCTGGCATCAGAACAGGACTCAGGAACCATAAACTTGCTTTCCGCACATACACACACTTCCCGTATACAATGGACGGTTTCCCCTCTACAAAGAGACGCTTGTCATCCGAGTCTGACCGCGTGTCGAAGAAAGTAGCCAACGGCGTTTTACATGACGTGGCCATGACCGACGTTTCCAACAGCGTAAGCATCAGTGAATCCGAATCCGAATCTGGTTCCGAAGCCGAGGATGTCGCTTTCCCGGCAGACTCCCCGGCGTGGCAGGCAACCATCCAGACAGTCGTCAAGTCAGTCGTATCCATCCATTTTGCACAGGTGGCGAGCTTCGACCTGGACTCCGCCGTCGTCAGCGAGGCGACCGGGTTTGTGGTGGACGCCGAGCGCGGAATCATTCTCACCAACAGACACGTCGTGGGTGCCGGCCCCTTCTGGGGGTACGCTGTCTTCGACAACCACGAGGAAGCGGTTGTGAAAGCGATCTATCGCGACCCGGTACACGACTTTGGGTTTTTGAAATTTAATCCCGCTGATATCAAGCATATGCAGGTCCGCGCGTTGGTATTACGCCCGGAGTTGGCAAAGGTCGGCGCAGAGATCCGCGTCGTGGGTAACGACGCGGGTGAAAAGTTGTCGATTCTCGCGGGGTTCATCTCGCGATTGGACAGAAACGCGCCAGAATATGGCCATATGACTTATAATGATTTCAACACAGAGTATATCCAGGCGGCTGCCTCGGCCTCCGGTGGGTCGTCCGGGTCTCCGGTCGTCAACATTGACGGGTACGCCGTGGCGTTGCAGGCCGGTGGATCGACCGAGTCGTCCACCGACTTTTTCCTCCCGGTTTACCGTATTCTCCGGGCCTTGACGTGTGTGCAGACTGAAACCCCCGTGACCAGAGGGACGATCCAGGTACAATGGATCCTCAAACCGTTTGACGAGTGCAGACGCTTGGGGTTGACCGCGGACGCGGAAGCTGTCTCCAGAGCCATGTTCCCCGAGAAGATTGGGTTGTTGGTGGCGGAGGTTGTGCTCCCACAGGGTCCGGCCGATTCGCAGTTGAAGGAGGGTGATGTGCTCATCTCCATCAACGGCCAGAACATTTCCACCTTCATCAAGGTTGACGACATCTTGGACTCCAGCGTGGGTCAGACTATCGACTTGGTCGTCCAACGCGGCGGTGTCGTAACCCCCGCAACGCTCCGCGTTGGTGATCTCCACGCTATCACGCCAAACCGCTACCTCCAGGTGTGTGGTGCTTCCTTTAACGACCTTTCGTACCAGATGGCGCGCATCTACGCGATCCCCGTCAAGGGGGTCTTTGTCAATAGCGCGTCCGGGTCCTTCTTCTTCGACAAGAACGAGAAGTGCGGCTGGATCATTGACTCCGTGGACGATCAGGATACCCCGGACCTCGATACCTTCATAGAGGTCATGAAGTCCATCCCTGACTGTAAGCGCGTGCCGGTTGCGTTCCGCCACTTGACGGACCTCCACTCGCAGAACGTGGCCGTCATCTACATCGACCGCCACTGGATGACCGCGTTCCGCGTGGCCGTCAGGAACGATGAGTCTGGCTTGTGGGACTTCACCACGATGCAGGAAAAGCCGTTGCCACCATTGCCGCTCACACCGCACAACGCTCGTTTCATCGACATCGCGATGGAGTCTAAGGGGTGCGCGCAGTTGTCACGCAGCTTTGTACTAGTGGGGACCAAATTGCCGGTCCCGTTGGACTCGTTCCCGTCGTCCCGCAAGCGTGGCTACGGTGTTGTCATCGATGCTGCTAAGGGTTACGTGCTTGTATCTCGCTACGTCGTTCCTCACGACTTGTGTGACGTAGACATCACCATCGCCGAGTCTATTATCATCCCCGCCAAGGTTATTTTTCTCCATCCATTGCACAACTACGCCGTGGTCAAGTACGATCCGGCGTTGGTATTGGCGCCCGTGCAGACCCCCAAGTTCAGCTCCACGCCATTGCGCAAGGGTGACAAGATAAACTTTATCGGGTTCAACTTCAACCTCCGTACCATCACCACCGAGACTCGCATCAGTGACATTTCGTCAATCAACGTGCCGAGCTCCAGTATGGCCCCGCGCTACCGCGGTACCAACCTCGAGGGCCTTCAGATTGAAAGCAACATGTCAACGCACTGTAGCTCTGGTGTTTTGGCTGATAACGACGGAACCATCCGCGCTGTGTGGTTATCCTTCTTGGGTGACCGCAACAATGACCAGGACACGATCTACCGCATGGGTATTGACGTTACTGATATCAACGACATTATCCAAAAATTCCAGAACGATGAAACGCCAAACGTGCGCATCATCGACAGCGAGTTCTTTGCGTTGCCGTTGTCGCAGGCCAGGCTCAGAGGGGTGTCCGAGAAGTGGATTGCCAAGGTTGAGGAGCAGGAGGGTATGGAGCGGTTCCAGTTTTTGAGTGTGTCGCGTGTCGCGTGTGCCACATCGACGCAGCCACAGAACCCATTGTTACCAGGTGACATTGTGTTGTCGGTGAACGGCCAAGCCGTACACAAGATCAAGGACTTGAACGCGTTGTCCAATAATGCGGAGTTGGAGTTCCACATCGTCAGACGCAAGCAAGAAATGACCTTGGCTATCCAAACCGTGCCGACCGATACCTTCAACACGTCGCAGGTGGTGATCTGGTGTGGGGCCGTGTTGCAGGGTCCGCATCACGGTGTGCGCCAGTTGATGAAGAACCTCCCATCTGGTGTCTATTGCACCGACCGTGCGCAGGGATCGCCTGCGCGTCACTATGGGATTGGCTCTACTAACTTTATCACGCACGTGAATGAGCAGGAGACGCCGGACTTGGATGCGTTTATGAAGGTGGTCAAAGGCATTCCAGATAACACGTACGTGAAGTTGCGCATTGTTTCGTTTGACAACGTACCGTTTGCGATTTCGTTGAAGACCAACTACCACTACTTCCCAACCGCGGAGTTGAAGAAGGATACCGAGCAGGACAAGTGGGTCGAGCATGAGGAATAGAGTTGCATTGCTTGTATATTAGAAAATATTTGAGTTTTGACCGGATGTAGGTTACTGTAAACTGAGGTTTGGCGTGGATAAGGAATGGCCAAGGTCTGGATGCAGCAGATGGTATGGGGTTCAACTAGTGGCTAGGTGTGTGAGGGTCTCCAGACAGCACTAAGTAAATGGTATTGTAGGGGGTCGCTGCTTTTGGTTCAGAATTTATAGTTTTGGATATGTAAAGTAGAAGGGTGATGAGCTTTGGGTGTAGGTGTTGGCTTTCACTTGGTGTGGAACGGAAGTGAGGGCAGGCTATGACTTGTGTTTGGGTGGGTGTTAAATATTAGAGTAGGTGTAATGACTTTCACCTTCAGCTGATAGATGAGACGAAACAAACTTCAGATTTTTACATATGGGTGGGACGAGATTTGGATATAAAATACAACTTCTCTGTACAGACCCCGGCTGCCGCAATCCATTGATAGCGTTGGCGTATTACTGGATAGCCTAATTTACAATCTGATGCATTGTTTATTCAAGTAACTAGACCTGCTCCTTTTATCCTTGGTGATCTCATCTTCTCCACCACCTCATTATTTACCGCTACGCTTCGACTACTTCTCTGACAGACTTTTTTTTCCATTCATTTATCGAGCTAAGCCGTATATATACAAGTTTTAGCCAGGCCTGATACTCTCGCTATGGTGCCGTGTTCAACCCTGGAATGAGACACCTCTTCTGTACACGGTTCTGGATCCTAGACACCGTACAATAACTCTTTGGGGTTACCAGTATGGCAAAAGCTTCCTTAACTTTCTGTGGTTTCTGCCCTTCTTGTCGACGTGCACAACACCAGTCTTCTGGTTCAACAATCTCATACTCCAGCCGATATTACCGTGAGAACGGCATGACTTTCCTCTCTTGTAACCGTCGGCAGTCTTTCTGAATCTCTTGGCAGCGGAGTGGTTGGTCTTCATCTTGGTCCGGACAAAGGTTGTGTTGTACGTCTGCTGTAATAAGGTGGAGGTCCTGCCGAAGGCCATGGTAGAAACAGAACCAAGAGCACGTGAAACACCGCCAATGAGGGGTCTAAAATTGGAAAACATTGGTGAGGGGCGGTTTGAAATTTCAACTCTACGACCCAGGTATACCGATTTCTATGCTTTTGACTGAAAAATTCCGGTTCAACGATCGACCAAGGTCGCGCCTTGACCGGATGAAAAATTGATATGCGTCACGTGATTAGTGTCCTAACTGTATCTACAACATCGGTATGGGCAAACGTACTAGACCGGTAATCTGTCACTTGGGGTTTTATATGGTATTGTGGACGAAAGTATTACATCTAATTCCCATGCTCGACTATTGTTTGCCTCCTGGCTGTATATATTTCCAGCTGCCTACATCATGTTATCAATTAGAGTTTCATGTTTCATATATTTCATAATCAGATCTGGATCTGCTTAGATTTTCCATTGGGCCGGCCTCTTCTCAACGAAAGCGGTCATCCCCTCGGTTTGACCCCTAGTGCCAAACAAAGCTTGGAAAGTGATTCTTTCAAATTCCAAGCCGTCCTTCAAGGACATCTCGTAGCTCTTGTTGACACACGCCTTGGCCATCTTGTTGGCCAAGCGAGGGCCGTTACCGATCCTGGATGCCAAGTTGAGCGCTGCTTCCAACAATGCCTTGTTATCAGGGAGCACCTTGGAGATCAAGCCCCAGTCGTAAGCCTGTTGAGCCTTAATGCGCTCACCGGTCAACACCAATTCCATGGCCTTGGATTTACCAATCGCTTTGACCAATCTCTGAGTACCACCAGCGCCCGGGATAACCCCCAACTGGATTTCCGGCTGGCCGAACTGAGCCCGTTCGGTGGCATAGATGATGTCGCAACTCATTGCCAACTCACAGCCACCACCAAGAGCAAACCCGTCCACAGCCGCAATGATTGGCTTATCGATGTAAATAATGTCACCCCAGTTTCTCAAGAAAGCGCTGTCGATGGCCTGTTCGGATTGCAAGCTGGACATTTCCTTGATGTCCGCACCAGCGGCAAAGGCACGTTCGCTGCCGGTGATGACAATGGCACCAATGGTGGAATCGGCATCTGCGGCGCGCAACTCAACCATCAATTCCTTCATGAGCTCGGCGTTTAACGCATTGAGCGCCTTTGGTCTGTTCAAGGTGATTTGTCTGACCCCGGCGGTAGGGGTGGAGGCTAAGATACAGTTGTAAGACATGGCAGCGGAAATGGAGAGTTGTCTAGAAGCGAAAACAGGGAAGTTTCTGAGGGTTTTTATGAATACGGACATGGCGGGAGACTAGGCTGGGGAAGACCGTTATATATATTGCTGCAAAAAAAAGACGCCTGAAGTCCGGAAGTACGGGGTAGCCTCGGCATGGGGGAGATAAAGTTTCGGCTTTTAGCGGGACGAGTGACAGAGGGCCAAATGGCGCAGACTTACCCCTCGCTCATCCACGTGACGGCTTGAGCGGCCATGTCTGAGAGGTTGTGCTTGAACGCACTATGGATACGTTAAGAGCTCGGTCAAGAGTTCTATCGGGGGAGAGAAAATAGTCTTGATTTTTCGTGTTATTTTTAATCTAGCTAGTCTGCTTTATAGTAGATAAAACCGAAAGAAGTGAAAAGAGAAACATGAACGGTGCCAGCAGTTGAGCGCCCACCTAAAATTTCTCGGTTATACCCCACTTGGATGAGACTAAACCTTTTATAACCCATGCCAGGAATATAGTAAATATCGAGAGCACCCAAATCACCCCATATCGCTCTTTCTAAATAAACACCTGCGCCGCACTATAGCTTAGTTTGTCCACTAGTGCTGGCCATCTACGTGGACTACGTAGGTATCTCTCGAGCGATTATATCCTGGTCAGGACCTGTTTCTCCCTCAATATCAATTATTAAGTAAAACGGTATTTATACTAACATTATTTCACCTCACTTTTTGCATTTTCATTCCTTCATTTATCTCTCTATGTATCCCTAGTTATCCTCCATCGATCACGTGCAAATCAAAGCTCCTAACCGCCGGCAGCCTCATCGAAGATGTACGCCAGAGGTATCACCATACCACTTATCCGTAGAACATCACATCCACATAGCTCCTCTTTGTAGCTCCTCCTTACAGACCATCCTTCTGCTGCCTAATACTACACCCATGGAGAACTACGCCCCCGAGTACTTCGAATTGCCGAGCCCGTTGGTGTTTGTGCAGGGCTTGGAGCATGGGCGTCCAGCTTCGCTGGACTCCGAGGCGTCTGATTTGCTGTCCAACCCGATCCTCCTGTCACCTAGCTACACCCAGGATATGCTCCACCGCACATCGCCCGCCGTGACAGCCGCGTGCGGGCTCGAGCTCGTCACGCGCATAAGTGCCCATGCGCGCGCGGACGTGTTCTGGGACAATGCGATAATCAAAAACCGCTTGGGCACACCGCGCGCCTGCAATGTGCGCTTCATCAGCACCCAGCACTATTTACCGACGCGCAAGAGCCCTACAGGTTCGCCGCTCTCCGCTTTCGCGATGCAGGACGCGCACGCGCTACTCACCGAGCACTGGTTCCAGAAGCACTTTGCGCTTGTGCCCTCCGTTGTCGTCTCTGTGTATGAAATCGATGGCAGCGTGTCAGATCCCCAGCGTTACCTCCAGCAGGACGCAGAACTAGCACAGGAAATCAACATGTTGAAGGCTCAATTGGCGGGGCAGGATATCCGACTTGTACCGCTCATGGTGTGCGCTCAGAGCAGCGATGCGCCGAGCCTTGATGCGCGTGTCGCAAGTTTGCGCCGCCTTACACAACTCGGAACGAAGTTGTTCTATCTTCCCGCCGGAACCCAGCGTGAAATCGAAGTCTTGGTGGAGGTTTTGATGACCAGTGTGCGCACGCTCGCACTGGACTATTACGTGAACTTGGAAAAGCGCATCCGCAAGCGGAAGTTGAACAAGCACGGTCATGAATTGAACACGGTAGGCTCAGCCTTACCCCCTTCGTCGCTAGACACAACCCCTACGTACGTCTCTGCGCTCCACTTGGAAGCGCGCCAGTTGGTGAAGCTTGCGGTGGTCAGCCAGTTCCGCTTAGCATCGCACGACGCGACACTCAAGCTCCTCGAGCAAGCGCACAAACTCCTTGTCCAGGTTTTGAGCAACGCGGACGAGTTTGCGCACGCGTCACCGATCACGCCGGACACGTGGCAGAACTACCGCGCACTCCTAGACGTTATTGCATTCCATGCGACGCGGCTCTACCTCGCATGTGAGTTTCCCAACGTTGCATACACCAAGTTCGACCACCATATCCAGGTGGTGATCTCACACTTGTTGAAGCCACGCGGCATTCGCCCCGCGTCGGCTCCTGTGTTGTACTGGCTCTCCGCGCAGTTCGAGTGGTTGGCTGACTTAACATCCAGATGCCCCAGCATCGTCAGCCGCAACCACGCCTTGTGTCCCGACTCGGTTGGTGGTGTGGGCGTCTTGTCCATGTTGCATCCAGGATTTTCAGCCATGAAGAGCTTGAGTTTGTTGAAGCGAATGGGAACAGACGCTGCCAAGGGCCCTCCGGGCCCTTCTGATGGCTACCTTTCAGAATACACCCAAGACATAGACTCTCAAACCCGCGAGTTGGCGTTGTTGGATAAGGCTGAGAGGTGTTTCCAGACAGAGTCTGCGAAAGCCAACCAGTTCACACGCACGCTCAGCACCATCTACTTCCAAAAGGCCGAGATATACTACGGGCTCCAGCAGTACGAATTAGCGGTGGAATGGTTCACCCGGTGCTTGGACGACGAGTTCTCCCACTGGAGCTATCTCGCTAGCACCGTCTACTGGCGACTCCTCAGCGCCTGGGGCGCGTTGGGCCAGGTTGACGAAATGGTCTCGGTGTACTTGAAGTTGTGCTGCTTGCCTGCACGGATCCATGAGCAGATTGACTTGCTGTTTACGAGATTTTTGGAGTCGCGCGAGGTGGCCGTCACGACTAATCCTGTCGATATCCAGTGTCTCTTTGAAAACAGAGTCACCCCGTTATCCAAGGCGTCTTCCGTGCAGTTACGTCTCGCCAGCTTGGTGAAGCAGAGCGCGGTGTCGCCCCAAAACTTTGTCCTCCAGGAGGTTGTGGTGGAGTTTGACCGCGGGTTTAAAAACGTTAGGTTGAAGCACGATGGATCAAAGCCTGTAGAGGGGCTTGTAACGCTCCAGGAGACTGACTTTCAGGAGAATGATGGCGTGCTAGAGGCCGCGGTCAACTTGGACCTCTCTGCCGCCAAAATCTTTCAGTTCACCCAGCATTGTTCGATGATTGGGACGTTTTCCGTCAAATCTGTTGCCTACAAGGCTTCTTTTAGCTTAGGAGCGAACGCTACCGTCGTGAGTCTTAGCGGTTCCAGTGTTTTTCAGCAAGGTTTCCAGGACCGATACGCTTGGCACGGCTCAAACACCCGCTACATTTCCACCTCCCGGCCGTGGACCACGGACATCGAGCCAAGACGCCCGGAAACGATCGTTACGGTAAGCGAGCCTCCGCATGCTATCAAGGGCGAAAAGTTGAAGCTAACCGTGCTGGTGGATAACAAAGACCACGCCAGCGTCAACGTGGATTTGATCGTGGACGACACAGCCCATTCAAACGGAACTAAAGCTCCGGTTCCCGTCCAGTGGGCCGATTCCTCCGGTAGCACGGTGGTGGATGTTGGGCCGAAAACTGCGCAGGCCTTGGTGTTGTCGGTGGCGGTGCCAATGGATTGGGATAATAACGTCATCCGGGTGAAGATCAAGACCATTTTCTACGTCGAGAACGACCGCGACATTCCCGTGGTGGATTACCTCAGCTTTTCGATCCCGGTCATCGATCCTTTCAAGTACCTGTTGCTGATCCAGCCCCGCTTGCGCGACGGTGATATGCCGTCTCCGATGGTCATCCCTGAGGATATCGCAGATAGCATCCCGTTGGTGCAGAGGTCGTGGTCGGCGAGGGTCTCGGTTGGGTACACCCAAAAGGATAAAGTGGCCTTGGGCCCGTTGAAGATTGTGGGCTATGAGCTTGTCACAACGACGGATCTGTCAGAACACACTGTCGGGGCTATCGCTTCTGAGGACTCCCCTATCACCTTGGAGCCTGAAACCAGTGCCGGGTTGGAACGGTTGTTCTACACCAGGCCCACCGGTGCCAAGTCTGCCCGAAACCTCGCATTGGCATGCCACATGAAGATTCAATGGCAACGAGAGGGCGGCGAGGTTAATGAGCTTGTGACACCTTCCTGGAAGCTCAGTCTTCCATTGCTTGACCCGAGAATTTTGTTGATGGTGGAGAAGTCAGACCCGCGGGCTATTGGCTTGGTGTACACTATTGAAAACCCCACAGCTAGGGTGTTTACCTTCTCGACCACGTTTTCCAACTACGAGCTTGACTACAATTTGGTGGTGGGTACTGATATTGTCCAAACGGTGCTGGTATTACCATTCTCCCACCACGAGCTTCGCTACAGTATCATCCCCAAGACCACTGCCGAATGGTTTAAGTTGCCTGAATTGAAGGTGTATGATGTTAACTACAAGGTGAGTTTGCCCACGCTCCTCGCAACCACCGATGTCAGACAGGATAGAGGCAATAATTTCTTAGTCAATTCCTCTTTTTTGGAATAGTTCAAAAAGATTCCGACACCTCCCCGGTTAGACTTTTCACCATGTAGACCCGCGTTAGTATATGTAGTATGACAACTCTGGCACACAAAACGTCATTGGGACTTGAGTCTACACAGTATTACGTCATAGCACCTTAAGGTGTACGCGTAAATTTTCGGTCGTGCGTAAATTTCAGTGCTAATTTATCCCCGCCCACGCGTTCTGCTCCTTTTCAACAGTTAGACCTCCGCGAACTGTCACAAACTTTCTCACCTCCACCGCAATTGCAATGTTGGCCAGATCCTTTTTAAAGCCAGCCTCCTTCCACGCCTTCACCCCGTTGAGATCTTTTTCCCATACACAATTCAGAATGTCTCAAGTCGTTGTTGAAAAATTAGCTCCAGGTATGTGAATATATATTGCGAGTGTGTTTCAACGGCGTGTACTAACTCGGCCAGGTGACGGTAAGACCTTCCCAGCTGTCGGTGACAAGGTCACTATCCACTATGTCGGTACCTTGGAAAACGGTAAGAAGTTTGACTCTTCCCGCGACAGAGGTAAGCCATTCCAGTGTCACATCGGTGTCGGTCAGGTCATCAAGGGCTGGGACCAGGAAATCCCAAAGTTGTCCGTTGGTGAAAAGGCTGTGTTGAAGATCCCAGGCCCATTGGCCTACGGTGATAGAGGGTTCCCAGGTTTGATTCCACCAAACGCCACCTTGGTCTTCGAGGTTGAGTTGTTGGGTGTCAACTAAAGTGCTAGCACGACCTCTTTACGTTTGAATAATATCAGCGCGTATATTTTCAGAATGGTACTGTAGATTTGATTTGACTGGCAGTCCGTGAGACTTTCTTCAGGCTCATTGCCGTTTCCGTATACGGCTCGGCGTTACCGAAACTATGTCTCAGGGTTGCAGGTCACAAACCATGAGAGACGAAGCTGCTACTGGCACTACGGGTCCATTGAACAGAGTCAGAGCTAAACTGACAGTTACACCAAGAGAAAGGCATCTTGTAATAATCAAACCGGAGGGCTGGGACAATATCCTCACAAAGTGGTCATGCAATCGGGCGTGCAGACACTAACACACGTTCACTCAGGAAGAGCAAAGCTTGGCTACTAAAACTTGAAGACATCTAGTCATGAACACAGCCACAAAAATATGGTATGTACAATCAACAGACATTGCTACGGTAAACTTTACGAGGTGGCGGTGAATCGTAGTTGGCTCTTTATTGCTTGAGCACGATAACGATTCACCTGGAAAGCTGAGTAGCTATAACAAAATTGTAGCGCTAGTTAAAATAGCAGAAAAAACCAAAGACAACCCAAAATAAAAATGTATCAGAGAATACGCTTATTCGTCCTGGATAATGGTGCCCTTTTCGGAAACGTAGATACCATCCAAGAACTTACGGATATCCTTGTTTCTGACACGGCAGATTTGCTGGACATCGGCGGCAACCTGGGAAACAGCCTCCAAGGAGTTACCGGTCAAGACCAATTCATCCTTCTGGTTGGCAGAGTTTTCGACTTCGACACCTTCGGCGATCTTGACGTTTCTGACTCTCTTTTCACCCAAGAAGTTTCTGATTTCAACAAACTTCTCGCCATCGATTTCAATAACGTTAACGTTGATTGGGAAATGGGCGTAGACGTATCTCATCTTGTACTTGTAACCCTTGGTGACACCAGTGATCAAGTTGGAGATCAAAGACTTGACAGTTCTCAAGGCAGCAACGTGCTTTCTGTCACCGTCGTGGACGGTGATCTTGATAGCTCTGTTGGACAACTTGGCGAAAGTGACATTGATGTGGTTCAAGTTCTTGTTCAAGACACCTCTTGGACCAGTAACCTTGATCTTTCTGGCGTTGATTTCAACGGTGACACCTTCTGGAATGTCCAAGATTTGATCGGTTTGAATGTACTTCATTGTGTATAGATTTTGGGTTGAGAAATAAAAGGTAGAAAAAGCTGAAAAACAAGTGATGTATAGTGCAGGTGAAAAATTTTCCTCGAGCTTCAACCGCAGCTTTTCGCAGACTCTAGAGAGGCTGGAATTCCCAGATCTACGTGTACTGTAATTTACGCGAGCAGACCTTACAGGGTACAAGCCTTATGCATGGATGCCATTGGGGTCGTCCTCACGTTGGTGGAACGTTTTAGGTAACCGACTGATTATTCTTGTCCATTCAATGCGTCTCCGTGCTTCTGAGTATTTGTAATGTATTTCTGTATTAGAGGAATGCTGTCAGGAAATTTAGGGTCGGGTGGGTCCATTTAAACTGACTAATCCAAAGGCGATAAAAGTCTGTCAAAGATGCAGACTCTGCTTTTGACCTAACGGCAAATGGTTCTAAAAAGTGCCTAAATCAAGGTTTATTCCTCACACTGAACTGTGTTTAAATAATTGTCTCGTACCCAGTGTCTTTACTGTTACTAAGATTCACAAAAGGACAGCCTGCAACAGTATACCTGAGTCACTTGCTTCGCAGATTCAATCACTCTTCATCGCTGGACGAGTAGCCGGTAATAGGCATGCTCTTTCCCGTGGTTGGGATATCAGCTTTTGGAACTGCATCGCTCGACTCGTACGCCATGCCAACCTTCCGAACCAAACCTTGGATCAACAGGGTCTTCTTCAGTATAGGTTTGATGTCTTTTGTGACTCTTCCGGTCATTGGAATGCTCTGCGCGGAAGCTTTGGCTTTCAACTCCTGTGCCCTAGATTCTGTTAGTCATAGGTTTAATTAGCCAACCATGGTTTACGTACCTTCGGAAGTCGTTCAATCGAGATCTCTCGTGCAATCTGACCTTGGTATCTCGCTCGAGTTCCTCTGCCCTCAATTGGTCGTAAAATATCACTTCTCTGGCATCTAGCTTGTGTGAAACATTTCGGTCCTCAAAAGCGGTTTGACTCTCATTCGCCTTCTGCTCTGGGGTTTGTTAGCGTCATATCTTATCACCAATAAGCAGTACTTACTCTTGTTATCCTTGATCTGCTGAAACATGGACTTTCGCTCGCCATCGGTGCCCTCGTCGTCACCCTTTTCCGTAGCTAGAAACTTCTGGCGCTCCAATGCCTCCTTCGCCTCAGCCAATGCAGCATCCTGCTCGCTAATTTCTCCCTCTCTGACAAATCTTGACATGGTGGATGAAATAAATTATCTAAGCTGGTTAAATGCTGCAGGATGCATCTTATGTATACGGCATACAGAAGTGAAACCAAAACAAAAATCGTGTCCGCACCGATTTTTCTATAGCCAACCAGAATCACGAAAATCACACCGATATTTTAACGAGTACATGAATAGTGACGAGCACCCTGTTTCGGACCAGATATCGCCCACACAATGAACTCTGTATTTGTCAGATCCGGCTTAAGATTATCCCCTTCCGCACGTGCCTTCACCACCACCTCCGCGTGGAGACAGGTTTTGCCAGAGTTGACCTCTGAGCAAAACAGCAGACCAAAACACCTCGTTTCCGGCGCGCCGGTCGAGTTACTCACCAAGAGAGAGTGCAGAATCTACCAAGAGTCTAAGCCAGCCACCCAGTCTGGCCACCACAATGGTGACCACTGGCAGTTGGACTGGGACGTTTTGGGCAAGGGTAACAGATGGGAAAACGACGTCATGGGGTACCAGGGAACCTCCGACGCCATGCAGTGCACCGTCATGAAGTTTGACAACAAGGAGGCTGCCATCAGATTCGCCGAGGGCCAGGGCTGGACCTTTTACGTCCAGGAACCAAAGAAGAGACACTTCAGAAAGAAGGACTACTCCGCCAACTTCCTCCACTCCGCCGGCCCATTGAAACACATCAGAACCAAATAGGTCATGTCGCGTTTATTTATTGTTTCTTTCTCCTTGCATTTTCTTTCTTCCACTAGTTCACATTCGTGTGATGTATATTTAGATATATTGAAAAATATTAAAAACGTGTAGGGGCATACCATCCTTTGAGTATCCATAATTAGATATCCTCATGGCAACGTTATGCATCTCGTTAATTGTCTCCAAATATGATATCCAGCTTAGCTAACGCTGGGTAGGCACCATTGACATCAGTGTTAAATTGCAACCTTTAACAATGCATCTCATTCTATAGTGGATCTCTCACTTGATACAATGCGAATTACAGGAACAATGACGACTGAGTTTCGATGTATTCAAAACTCTTTTTGAGTCCAGACACCTTCCACTGTCTATATACTCTTTATTTCCACTCTGTTCCCCCCTTACATTAATATATTATCCCAATACATTACTCAACTGGGATGGCGCGTCGAATGTCGTGTGCGTATCGCGGCCCAAGTTTTTCAGCCGCCAGACGCGCGTGGAGAAAGTCTTATCAAAATGATTTCTGCCGCCAAGATGGCAACCTGCTCATCTATTGCTTGTTTGGCATCTATCTTTGACGTCACAAACAGAACTCTAAAGCTGCTTGTCACAGAAACGGACAACACCACAGAAAGGTCACCCATGTCTTATCGACACGGATCAGGCCGAGATAGCTTGTCGAAGTTCTTCCCAGACGAGGATCTTGACGACGAATCGCACTACGCCGGTAAGTCGCACCGTGATGATGAACTGCGCTACAATGAGCGATATGCCCAGCCAAACGGCTCGCACTATGCGCAAAGCGGCTCCCGCTACGCGACAAGCCACTACTCGGGTAGCTACGAAAGAGGCCGCCAAGAACCTGAAAGGGATGGTCATGAATCGAACAGAAGTCTCCACGAGTCAGAGAGAAGCCGCCATAAATCAGAAAGAAATTATAATGCCACCTCTGCGCAAAATCACTACGATGTTGACGGAAACCATTACGCGAGAGACGCGTCACCCGAGAGAGCTACCCGCCACCAGACACACCGCAAAGAGCTCTTCGTGCCCAACTCGGCCAAGTTTATGCCCACAGGTCCCAAGTCGCTGCAACCGGTAAAGCAGCCCCTCCCGTGCCTCACCTATGAGTATCCCAACTGTACGGAACACCACCACTACCTCCCGGTGTTGGAGGAGCGACTCCGCCAGCCGCTCGAACCCACGAGCAAAAAGGGCTTCCGCGTTGCCTATGACCCGTTGCTAGATAAGGCGTTGAAGGACAAGAAGGGCACGCGGATAGTGTACCGCGTATGTGGGGAGTCGGCGAAGCCACCGGTGGATCCACGTAAGCGCGAGTCCACGAAACATGCCCTGAAGTATCGCAGGCGGCCATATATCAGCCTCCAGAAGTTGCACACACCGCGCTTCCAGTACGACGAGCACTCTGTGGGGCCCCCGCCGCCGATCGAGGTGATTGTCTGGGGGTTTTCGCTCTCCACCACGCCGATTCAGATTCGGCATCAGTTCACGCCATTCGGCGAGGTCAAGGAGTGCGAGATCTTGGCCCACCCGCGCACCGCCGCACCCATGAACATCTGTCGCGTCAGATTTGCAGGCTCTATCGATAAGGCCGCGAACGCCGCGCGTAAGGCGTGCAAAGCGCACCCGAAGGGGCTTCTGGTGAACGGGCAGGTTGCACGAATCGGCTTGAATGACAGTCAGGGTCGCTTATTGCAGGCTCGGTTAGACAAGCTGCGCCGGGAGGAGGAGGCTCAGGTAAAGCGAGACGAGGCGAAGCAAAAAGAGCGACAGAAGGCAAGAGAGTTGGAGAGACAGAGGGAGCAGGAGAGGGAGGAGAGGGAAAAGGAGAGGGGAAAGGAGCGGGAAAAGGAGCGGGAAGCGGAGAGAGAAACTAAGAGAGAGGGTGCCCCGGCTCTTGAGCTGGCCCCCTCCTTCCTCTCAGACATCCTCAAAGTGGAAAAACAGCAAGAGTCGATGGACGCAAAGTTTGCCAAGGTCGTCTCCAACAGCGTTCTCACGTCAAAGGGCCGCCACGCCGAGATTAAGCCCGGGGTGCCGTTACTGGACAGCATCGCGGCGTATATCAAGGGGCGGCCATTTATTAAGGTGCGGCGGGACGACTTTCCCATCGCAGATTTTGTTGACCGCTACTGGAAGGGCATAACAGCGGCAGATTTGCGCGCGACCGCGTCACGCGAGAGCTATCAGCGTGATCTTGACCGTGACGTCGCGCACCTCGACCGCTACGCGGAGCTGAAGGACGCCGCGCGCAAGTACCTCAAAAAACAGCTTTCGCACGTGGTCAAGAGGAGCTTAGCCACGTACGACTGGGCGCGCATCATGCTCGAGGAGGACGGCATCTACGTGGTGTTCCACGACTTCTACGAGGCACGGCGGTGCTACGAGCACGAGGACGGGCGGCGCATTGCAGACCTTGACACGTTGGCTCCGTCTGAGGTGAATTTGGTCCGCGCGGCTGGCGTGCGCTTTAGTGGCTACCGCTTGTATATGGACTTCTGTCTCCCGCCCGGTTTCAGCAGCGTGCGAGGCGATATCGTGGCGCTTGCGACAGACCCGATGCTCAAAGAGTTAGGCAACTTCTTGAAGCGCGACATTAGGGAGAAGCTCATCGGGCCAGCCGTTCTCGCGGCGTTGGACATTTCCAACTTTCCGGAGCATGCGGATGTGCTAAAGCCGGAGCCAAGGGTTCCAGCCGAGATCTACGGGATTGTCAAGATGGAGGGCCCAACGCTCCCGCTTTTACCAAAGATCAAAAAGAAGGACGGGTTCCCGGTGAGACTTTCAAGGCATGCGATTCAGAAGCGCGTGGTTCCGATGCACCACGTGCTAAACTTTGACAGCTCGGATGAGGAGACCGAGCTCGACTCCGAGAAGCACACCCCGGCGTTGTCTCCAAAGGGACCCCTGAAGAAGCGCCAGCGCATCAAGGGCTACGAGTCGGAGGAAGATGAAGAAATGGAGGAGAGGGAAGAAATCGAGGAGGAGGAGGAAGTCATCGACGTGGAGAAGGCTGAGAGGGAGGTGACCCCTGACCTCGGGTCCAAATTCATGTCCGATAGCTCAGACGTGGAGTATCATACAGGCGATCAGAGATACCACCCCGCTACCGGCGGCTCGCGGCCAGTATTTGAAGACGATCTCAGTGTGCCGTTGGACTTGGACGGCCTCCAAGACACGCTTAAGGACGATGAAGACCTTGTGTTGTTGAAGAAGGTGTTTAGTGATATCAAACCGGAACCCATCGCCAACTTGGACTACTGGGCGTGGCGTGAGAAACAGCGGAAGCTGGAGGCGGAAAGCGCGTTGGACGCGCGGTTCGACAGTGCTGCCGGCTCATGGCGCTGTGAAGGTTACCGCAAGGTTCCGGACGCGGACAAGGCTGAGTACTTGCCACACCGCCGCAAGATCCACCAGCCGCTCGACACCATCCAGCACGAAGATGACGATTCGAAGCGCGGCGGCATCCAAAGCTCGCGTGTGAACCGCGCCAACAACCGGCGCTGGGCCGCGGACGTGTCGTCACTCGGAACTGAGAGCGACATTTTGAGCTTGAATGCTTTGACCAAGCGGAAAAAGCCAGTTTCCTTCGCCAGATCGGCCATTCACAACTGGGGCTTGTACGCGTTGGAGCCAATTGCCGCAAAAGAGATGATCATCGAGTACGTCGGGGAGAGCCTCAGACAACAGGTGGCGGAAAACAGAGAAAAAAAGTATTTAAAGTCGGGGATCGGCTCGAGTTACCTCTTCCGGATTGACGAAAACACTGTCATTGATGCCACCAAGAAGGGGGGTATCGCCAGATTCATCAATCACTGCTGCGTGCCCAGCTGCACCGCCAAGATCATCAAGGTGGGTGGGATGAAGCGGATCGTCATCTATGCCTTGAAGGATATTGCCACCAACGAGGAATTGACATATGATTACAAGTTCGAACGAGAGACCAATGATGACGAGCGCATTCCGTGTTTGTGTGGCGCTGAAGGGTGCAAGGGGTATTTGAATTAGAGTCAATGCATGGTTTATTGTTTTAGTGGGTATCTTTGGATTCTGTAACATCAAGTAGGCGATATCCGTGTCTCCGCATAGAGCATACCGGTGGGAGGCTAAGCCAGGCTGTTTGGATGAAATTGAAGCTTAGATCTAGGAAATGACGTCCCGCATGGTGGAATCCTAATTCAGAGCCTCAATAGTCCGTACCTTGGGTTTTAAGGATCAGGCTAAACTTGTGAAGCACGGCCCAAGTCCATGGTATACCTTTTGCATAATAAGACACAGCATCTAACTCACTGACATACAAAAGATTTTGCTACAAGCTTTCAAACTGACATGTATTCGAAACTTTACTATAGTACAGATACGTTCGGTCTGAGCCGTTGGGCTACCTCCAGAACCGTGTAGGTGAAGACATCCTATTTGGTTGTCTTCTGAGCCATGGCCTCTAAAATGGGTGTTAGTATTCATGTCGTTATCATTCTGAATAGGGTGGTCTTCCCGCAAGTAGGTATCCTCTAACAGGAAGGCCGGTCATAACATACCTCTTCTAGCAGCATCTTGCAACAAGTTCGTGTCGACGCTCTCCTTCTTTAAGTGAACGTATCGAACGGTGGAGCCTCTGATGAACAAGTTTCTAACGGCAATCAAGTGCGGATATTTGGTGTCGTTGTTGCATGTGATATTGTCCAATTTCAAATTCAAAAACTGGTCAACCGATTTTAAGGTTCCGGTGATGGAGATGTCATTTTTTAACTTCATATCGTTAGTACATTGTTTCTGGTGTCTCAAATGCTCTGGATAGACTTACTTCGACGGTGACCTAGATAAGTTAGTTGATGCTCGGGCGGTGGATTTAGTCATGGAATACTCACTTCTTGGTCAACCAATGTTTTGAAAAATGAGAAGAATAACATTCTGTATGGGCGTCAGTGATAGATCAAAGGCTTGCGTTCAGTAACAAGTATATTCACTTTTGTGCGCACGTCTGTTAGAGCTGTCTGAATGTGATGGTAGGAAGCGTTGGATTATGTAAGCTGTACGAGGTTTTCAATTTATAGCACACGGTGCAGGAAATACAGCATGCCATCTGGGCAAATCTGAGGAAATGCGATCAGACTTCTAACCCGAGACTTGAGTTACGAATCAAACTGTTTTGGACTCTTAGATAGGGGATGTTGTTTTTGCGTGTATTTCCGAGCTTTTTAGTGCCCAAAATGAAATCTTGTACGTCGTGTGGAAGATTTATATACCTTTGTCTTACTTTGCTTCCCTATATACTGTGGGGTGCATGTAAAAGTGGATATATTACAAAACTTTAATGACGTATCCGTACAAGGATATTCATTGGTTAATATCATAGTTTTTAACCATAATAGACGAAATCGCTCGGAGGTGAATGTACGAAGATCTCGTAAGCCTGCATTAACTTCTATTCGCAGAAACCACGGCAGCCTCATTCGCACGCTTTATGTCCAACTAACCTTATTCCTTCGTCAAAGTCCTCAAGCTCATTGTGAATCGTATTAAACACTATTCTGTCTCATTTTGGCAGCAAGTTTCCGTATGTTGATTATTATTATTTTTTTAGGTAAACGATGCCGACCCACGGACGATCGGCAAGCCCGCCAAGAGAAAAGCTTGAGAAACGCGACAACGCCGTAAGTGACAAACGGCGATGAACAGCGGACAGGCTCTATCGTTCTCATGCATGGGTTCCCTCGAGTCGTATGTCCCTACTACGCCTTTCTTTCAGTTAAATGTAGTCCAACACCGACAAAACAATATGATTTAAACGTTTACCCTAAATCTTGGCTTACAATCTGCATGCAGGGTGGTTTTTCCAATTACCGTGTAAACATGGGGTCACAATAAACTGGTCTGAGCCCGTGAAACGGGGTCGTTGACAGGCTCGTGTCTTAGTTATAATGTGTAACGCCAACCATCCGTTTATGTCAGTTATGACCCCCGCAGTCAAATCCCACAGACCCTAGATCCATCCCCAAACACCTTGTAAGAGGAAAAACGGCATCTATTGGGTCAAGGCTGACGTAAGTGTCAAACCCATTCCCCGGCTGCAGGCGTGTACCACCGCTTAAACCTTCCTCGATAATGAAAGCTTACAGTCGGAACCAGCTGACTTTGGAGCATTCGTCTCATGCGCTATCTGCAAGTCTGAAGCTTGGCTCCGTTGCAGGTTGAGTGGTTTGATTTCTGTCACGTGACAGACTGATTGGGAATGTCTCCATGCCGTGCGCGGTAATCAATCTACGCGCGATAACGGATGAGTCAAGCCGCAAACAGGTGGTTACAATCCCGAGCACCCTCTCCAAGAGGGGCTTCTGTGCAGGAGAATACTCCCGTTGCCGGAAGACGTACTATGCATTTCTGCGCGGTCCCCGACGCAAGGCGGTGAAAAATCGGAGAAGGCCCTCCAATAGTGAAAAATTTCGTAGAGGTATTAGTCACAGATCGCTCCGGGGGACAACTTGATATATAAAATTGCCGTTTCTTTTCCCTTTTTTTTTTCGTTCTCTCTCTCTCTCTGCTATTATTATCTTTATATCCTAATACATACAATGTGTGGTATTTTCGCTGCCTACAAACAACCGGACGTTGAGGCGTTCAAATCCAAGGCCTTACAGTACTCCAAGAGAATCAGACACAGAGGTCCAGATTGGAGTGGTGTCACCATCCAAAACAGCACCATCTTGTGCCACGAAAGATTGGCCATTGTTGGTTTGGACTCCGGTGCCCAGCCAATCACCTCCGAAAACGATGACTACTCCTTGACTGTCAACGGTGAAATTTACAACCACATCCAGTTGAGAGAAGAGTTTGCCGACTACCCATACAAGAGTTTCTCCGACTGTGAGCCAATCATTCCTTTGTACAAGAAATACGGGGTTGACGCTCCAAAGCACTTGGACGGTATGTTTGCTTTCGTCTTGTATGACAAGAAGCGGGACAGAGTCATCGCTGCCAGAGACCCTATCGGTATCACCACCTTATACATGGGTAGATCTGCTGCCAAGCCAGAAACCTACTACTTCTCCTCCGAGTTGAAGTGTCTTGTTGACGAGTGTGACACCATTACTGCCTTCCCTCCGGGCCACGTCTTTGACTCCCTCACCGGCGAGACCACCAGATACTTCACTCCAACCTGGTGGGACGAAGAAAAGATTCCAACCACGCCTGTGGACTACAAGGTTGTCAGAGAAACCTTGGAGATGGCTGTCAGAAAGAGATTGATGGCGGAGGTCCCATACGGTGTGTTGCTTTCCGGTGGCTTGGACTCATCTTTGATTGCCGCTATCGCCGCCAGAGAGACCGAGCAGGCCAACTTGGAAGCCAAGGGCACCGACACCTCCAGCCAGGGCTTGGCTGGTGTTGACGACGAGGGCCACTTGCGCTCCAACGGTTGGTCCAAGTTGCACTCCTTCGCTGTTGGTTTGCCAGGCGCTCCAGATTTGATTGCTGCTAAGAAGGTTGCCAAGTTCATCGACACCGTCCACCACGAACACACCTTTACCGTCCAGGAGGGTTTGGATGCGTTGAGAGACGTCATCTACCACTTGGAGACATATGATGTCACCACCATCAGAGCCTCTACCCCAATGTACTTGTTGTCCAGAAAGATCAAGGCCCAGGGTGTCAAGATGGTTTTGTCCGGTGAAGGTTCCGACGAGATCTTCGGCGGTTACTTGTACTTTGGTGCTGCTCCATCTGCCGATGAGTTCCACACCGAGTGTGTCAAGCGTGTCAAGAACTTGCACTACGCCGATTGTCTTAGAGCCAACAAGTCCACCATGGCTTGGGGCCTCGAAGCCAGAGTTCCGTTCTTGGACAAGGCTTTCTTGGAGCTCTGTATGAACATCGACCCTGCTGACAAGCTCATCAAGCCAGCTGAGGGTAAGATCGAGAAGTACATCTTGAGAAAGGCGTTCGACACCTCGGACGACCCATCTGCCAAGCCATACTTGCCACAGGAAATCCTCTGGAGACAGAAGGAACAGTTCTCTGATGGTGTTGGTTACTCCTGGATTGACGGTTTGAAGGAGGCTGCCGAATCTGCTGTTACTGAAGAACAATTGGCTCAGCCAAAGGCCGAATGGGGTACCGACATCCCATCCACTAAGGAAGCCTACTGGTACAGATGCATGTTCGATGAATTATTCCCACAGCCAGCCGCCGCCTCTACCGTCATGAGATGGGTTCCAAAGGCCGACTGGGGTTGTCACGAGGATCCGTCCGGTAGATACGCCAAGATGCACGCCTCTGCTGTCGACGCCGTCAAGGAATAAGTTAATAGAATAAATATATGTGTATAATGAGTATTTTTTCAATCAGCAGAAGGACAGGCTGTCGTTGCGCGGTAAATAGGGCTTATTCAGGAATGTCATCGCCGCGTATAGGGTGGTTCTAAAAATAGTCTTGCAGAAGCAGTCCTATAGGTATGGCTTGGGAAGAATTGGCCGCTCAACCAGTTGCTAGAAGGTAAATAGTCTATGGCTAGGATAGTCGGGGTTGATGCTTGTTTGTACTATAGTAGCGTGCCGTCCTGCCTACACAGTCCAGTAGTTGCAGTCAACCTTTAAACACCGGTGTATAAGCATTTTAGTCATAAGCGATCGGCTGTCAAAAGCCGAGTAAACAACGTCTAATGGTGGCCGGAAAGGACTCATTACGTAAACTTAGTAATAGACTATCACGTGATTTTTCATTTTGGTCTATATGCAGGATGTAGTTTTTAATCTGCTTACACATCCTGGGTCTGATATGCATCTCCACGCAATTCATTCCTGGCCCTGCGTTGCAGCTCCCTACGTATAAAGCTGTACTACCTTGGCCCCAGGTTTCTATCACAAATATCCACCGTTTGGGATAAAGAGCGCCTCCCACAAGTTTTACCTTGCATCGCATTTTCTTCTGTATGAGCAAGATCACTATACTAGTTTCGTCCCTTGTTGCACTCATCGTTGCCGTGATTTTCCCCAAACTCTTCTTCCAATCCGCCAAAGTTACTCCAGTTTTAACCCATATGGTTAGTTCTGCGTCCGCCACCTCCACTGCGTCCGACATTACCAAGTACGATCAAAGATTGAACATGGGCATCACTTCATACGCCGCAGCTTCCCCGTACAACCCAAGTTACTTCTTGAGCCATGGTGGTCCAACTTTCATGTATTCTGAAGAGAATGGAAAGGGTGGTGATATGGGTGCCTTCAGGGCGTTGCAGAAGATCGGGTCCCATATTGTCAACGACGTCAAGCCTGCTTTCATCATGGTTGTCAGTGCTCATTGGGAATCTAGCGGCCACGACAACATTGAAATCACCATTCCAAAGCCCAAGGGATTAAAGCCAGATGAGAACGAGTTGATTTACGATTTCTACGGTTTTCCTGACCACATGTACCGCGAACAGTTCCGCACCAGAGGATCTCGCGAGCTATCTCAATCTATTTCTGACTATTTAAACGAAAATGGTTTGAAAGCTTCGGTTACCGCCAGAGGGATCGATCACGGTACCTGGGTTCCGTTTAAGGTTGCCTTCGGTAAGACCGGGCTCACTGACGATTACTGGCACTTGGGGGTCCCATTGATTCAGATTTCTCTTGCACATACCGAAAAATTTGCTATTCACGAGCAATTGGGTGGCTTGTTGAGACACTTTACTGAAAAGAGTGGTGCCAATGGTATCTTGATCAACTCGGGTATGAGCGTTCATAACTTGCATGATTTGGGTACTGCAATGTACAACCATCCGAATAGGCCGATGTCTTATGTTGTTCCGTTCCATGACAAGTTGAGAGACATTTTCACCAAAAGCACTGATTATGAGAGTAGAATTGAGGGGTTAGAAAAGTTACACCAAGAGCCGATATTCAGGCAGGCTCATCCAAGTGTCGAGCATTTCATGCCCATTGTGGTTGCCGATGGGTTTGCTGGTAAGTACGGTAAGGTGAAGGAAGTTTACAACAACGCGTCTCTTAGTTTGGGCTGGGGGGTTTACGAGTTTATTGCTTCTAACAAAGACGTTAAGCTGTGAGGTTAGCTTAGTGTTAGGTCTTGTTTAGAAGGTTAGACATAGTGTATATGAATATTCTCTAAAAAGAGTCACATCCCAGTCAGTTCTAGTAAATATATATAATAGATTAATATAGTATATATTAGATTAATATGGTATATATACCACTTTGTTTATATTGCGTGATACATAATATAATCAAAATTATACGCGTTTTCAGTTCTTAAAATCTCAGGTAAATAACTGTAATAGCCATGTTTATATTTAGACAATATAGGTTTCAAGTTTCTTCAATGTATATGGTGTAAAATACTTACAAATAGGTGTCGTCACCTTACCGTTACTTCTCCCGCGTTGCCGTATGTGTGGATAGCGAAATCGGTCGCTTGAATGCAGACATGCATAGTCAGGGAATGATGTAACCGCACACCGAGAAACTGACTCCGTTCCTTAGCGTACCTTTTCGCGCAGATTGGCATACGTACCACGCGCGCTGCGAGAGCTGGTCTGGCACCGCAAATCGCAGAGAGAGAATATTTACGTGCGTAAAACAGGTAAACCTTACGCCTAGTTGGTTCGGCGAATCAGATGTAGCACGCATAGTGACGTACAATCCTTAAGGGTTTGGTTTCTGGTTGCTACACATGCGGTTAATTTGAAACGTTGTTTTTACGAATTAATATCGCAACATGGCTGTACCACTTAGCAAAAAGGAGGTTTAAGGATGTGTTAAGGGAACGAGGTGGCTAATTTTCAAGTGCTGAGTGATCAAATACTACGCATTGTTACGGTAGAGCGAGTTTATAAACCGAGACAATAGAGAGTTGTCAATAGGGTTAAGCTTCCTAACATTTATTTGATAGGGCCCCCAGGAAGAAACGCATGGCTCGTTAACCTTAAACTGAATGAGAAATTTTACAAATGCACCGGCTTTTCCGATGACCAACATTCGTCTGGGGAGCTTATACCCCCAACGAAATGAGGAACCCATTCGAGGAGGCTTTCAATCGAGGGGTTCTGCAAAAAGAGACCCTTAACAGAGACCCTAGCGGTGTCTCACACGTACTACAGTTAGCACGAGGAAAGTAGCTCGTACCATATAACCGGGGTCATCTCCCAGGGGCAGTGCTGACTTCGTACATGCATCCATATCTCTCCAGATTATTTCTAACCCTTCCGCCCTACATTACTTTTTGGCATGTTTCGACCGCCTCACAATGTGGCAAACCGGATTATAACAGGCTACCGGGGCCTTCCCGGTATCTTGAAGATGGGCTGGATTCAATGAAACACGTATAGGTCGGTTTCTCTTCCTGCATTCTAGGCTGAGCTGACTTGTACTAAGCTGCATGACGGGGCAGGAACTCATTTGAAGCCGCGTATCTGGGTCCACCATGTGATACAAGCCTACACGAAGTCTGTGGGGAGATCTAGTTCCTGAGGACTAACAACACCTTCTAGCATCGTTGTATATCTGAAAGGGTGTTAAGGAGGTCGTAGAAGAACTCAGGTGTTATGCGACGCACACCAGCACCAGAACACGGAGACTTCCAACAGGTTCGTAGGCCCATTTAACTTTCCGAGTGACGTGTCTGAGTTAGCTTGTCGTACGTGAGGTTGTAAAACGCTACCAGCCGGTCACTACCAGTACAGCGCTCTGTCTTGTCCTAACTACAACTCATGTGATGGCTATATGAATGCAAGGATGTTTATGTATCACCATTAGACGTTGGGATCCCAACTTCCGGCCCAAATAGAAAATACTAGCGCGAAACGCAGGAGGTTAAGCTCTAACATGCCATTTTTTCTGAAAGGGCTATGGATCATGAAACAGACTTAAGGCAGCACGAGTCTCTTCATGATTACATACAAAAGAAAAATATCAACCGAGCGTCCCACTGACATCCATGATCCAGAATAAAATGGCGATTGGTAAACCTTAACTCCACTCCTCCACCTGGATAGAAAAGGTAAAACAGCTCGGGCGGGGAGTTGTGTGGTGTCTTTCCCAAAATTCTAAATATAGTCTGACGCACGTAAATGCACACTTACGCACATTCTGAGATCCTGCACCATCGATCGCCTATTTGTCGTAGCATTTTGTCAGGAGAAAATTCCAGCCCAACCTAATGCGGTAATCTAACGAAAAAAGATAGGGTGTGCCAGACAGACGGAAAATACATACAAGCCTAACCCGTCCTGGGACTGCGCAGGTTTTACCTATATAACTCCATCGATTCCACTTGACACCCGTTGGACAGCTGTTATCCAAACACAGCAAACCTCTTTCTCTCGCCTCTTTCTCTCTTATTTTCTTGATTTCTGCCTCGATACTTTATCTGTTGGTATTGCGTTAACCACTGCTCGGATCACCGCCGGAAGTTCCGTAAGCCTATCGCTACAGTGCTTACACCTGCTTTCATTTTTACCAAAATTGAGTTTTCCCAGCGCCAAAGGCGTCTTGTCTAACCATTCCACACCGAATTTCACCCCAGCCGTTTCCTTCTTGCCATGTTTGAGAATCTCAAAAACCTTATCAACAAGAAACACCATGGAAAGAAGGCCTCCCATGACATGACCCCGTCCAAATCGGAGAGCAGCGCGTCCGTCAGTGACGGCTCCTACACGCCAAACGGTCCGCCAAAGGATTCCGAGACCTACGCTTCGGACAACCGCACGGCCTCGACGATGTGCATCCCGTCGCCAGCGTCCTCCCGCAACTCGCTGATGCATCTCTGCGACTCGCCCGTCAGTACCGAGTCCAGCCACCGTTTATTTGCCGAGAACGAGTTGAATCAGAAGTACCCCGACCTTGACTCGCGCTACCAGTTGATGGAAAAGATCGGCGACGGGGCGTTCTCGAAGGTGTACAAGGCGCTCGACACCGCCACCAACACCGTCATTGCGGTCAAAATTATCGACAAGTCGTCCACCTCCACCACCCAGTTAAACAACGTGCTCAAGGAGATTAGCATCATGCGCACGCTTGACCACCCAAACATTATCAAGTTGCTTGCGTTCAAGAATACAACCCTCAACTGCTTCTTGTTCCTCGAGCTCGTCGACGGCGGCGAGATCTTCAACCAGATCATTAAGTTGACGTACTTTTCTGAGGACCTTGCGCGCCACGTAATCGTGCAGGTCGCGCGTGCGGTCAAGTATCTCCACGAAGAGATCGGCGTGGTGCACCGCGACATCAAGCCGGAGAACTTGCTCTTCACCGAGATCCCATTCGTGGCGAACCCCGCGGGCCGTGTGGTGCGCGCGTCGGACGATGATTCCAAGCTCGACGAGGGCAAGTTTTGTCCCGGTATCGGTGGCGGCAGCATCGGCATCGTCAAGCTCGCGGACTTTGGACTCTCCAAGGTCTTGTGGGACCGCAAAACCCAAACCCCCTGCGGCACGGCGGGCTACACCGCACCCGAGATCATGAACGACCTCAACTATGACAAGGCTGTCGATGTGTGGTCGCTTGGATGCGTATTGTACACGTTGCTCTGCGGCTTCCCGCCGTTCTACGACACAGACCAGCAGAAGTTGGCCAACAAGATCGTTGCGGGTGACTACTGCTTCTTGAGCCCCTGGTGGGACGAGATCTCTAAAGAGGCCAAGGACTTGGTCACGCACTTGCTCACCCTCGACCCGGTCGAGCGCTACACCGTTGACGAGTTGCTCTGTCACCCGTGGGTCTTGCAAAACAACAAGGCGACCGAGCCGGCATTGGACGCCCCACAATACTCCCAGGCCCAACCCGAAGGCTTGTTTGACAAAGATTACTTCAACACCGCCATGGACGGCTTGGTGACCACGCCGCGCGCCGAGGCCATCCGCTTTGTGTTTGACAACAACTCGTTGCCGAAGTCAATCGCTTCGGCGGCGTCCAGAAATCGCATTGCATCCACCAGCACCACGTTGATTACCGTCCCCTCGCAGCACGGCAACTACTCTCTCGACCGTCTAGTGGAGCACTCGTCGGACGATGAAATCGACGAGGCATATTCGGACGACGAGGAGAATGAGTTTTCGGACTTTGACGTCCCCCAGGCGTTCCAATCGCTGGCCCTCAAGGGCAAGGCCCATCGCCGCATACACAGTATTGACAGTGTCGGCAGCGGCGGCTACACGATGCCGCTATTTGGCCAGTCGCCCATCAAGGTCAAGTTCGCCTACAAGAGTACCGCCACCACATCTTTCGGCAGCCTCACCATGAATGGGCACCGCCGTGCACGCACCAACTCGTCATCATCGTTGCGTCTTAGGAAGGCCAGTGAGGCTTTGAGTGTGGCGCCAGTGAACAAGCGCGGCTCCGGCTCTTCACCGGGCCTCAAGGTTCCCATGGTGGAAGTCGAGCTTTCCCATGCCAAAAGTGCTGATACAAAGCGCTACGACCCAAACCTCACCGTGACGGTTGACAAGCTGATAGCTGCACGCCTCAGCCGCGGCCATCCCAACTTCCCGAAGTCGCCATGTCCGCAGAGCATCCGTTTCCGCTGCGGTCCCCTCGTCCTGGACCAGTGCGGTGCGGGGGACTCTGAGGACGATGAAGCCAATTCTGATTGCGACTCCGACTCCGATATGGATATGAGCGATTACGAGAGAGATAACACTCCCTCGGTGATCGTGGAGGACCGGAAAAGCGCTTCGCCCCGGGAACCATCGACCTCGCCGGCTGTCACCGCGCAAACCGACCCCATTGCCATTCCGCTGCGAGCCAAAACATCGCCGCCGCCGATGGACAGACACACCGCGCCCGTGCCGGTTGACATTCGCAAGTCGTTTGATACATTGAGCGAGAGTTTTAATTTGGATCAGTCCAAAATGTTGTCTAGGCGCAAGACGGTGGGCGGAGGCTGCCGGGTGGCACAGTAAATAATTAATGATCTAATTGCTGGTAAGAATTTCTATTATGATTGGCTTAGCAAATGAAATGCAATGATATGAAAAAGAGTAAATTAGGAATGAGCGAGGCTATACGTAAGCACTGATTGCTACAGGGCGATGGCTGTACATAGACGTCTTTATTGCAGAATGCGTACTTGGCAACGGCGAGGGAATGTGAATTTTATGGAGTCATTCATATCCTTGAGTCCGAGAAGGTCAAAGACATGGAACGTAGGTTACAATGCGAACTTTTTTGGAAATGAACCATTAGGGGGTAAGGCGAGAAAATACATTTTAAGCTCCTATCAACAGTCTTTGTCTGCTTGATTCAAATTTCGGTTAAATTACGGCTTTAGACAAGCCATTGAAACTAACTAAAAATTGCCCCTTGTAATACAAGTCATCATCATATTTGTTTCCCTTACCGAGGTTGTCTATACCAAATTCCCAAGAATACAAAGCCTGGTACTTTCCCTGTTACACCACTCCATCGACACTATCGATGTGTACATCCGCTTCCCAACTCTCCAGTTCCACCTGCCTCCCATTCAAAACGTCATTCAAGTCGTACCTTTCCACTCCCTTTTCATAGGTCTCCACCAAGCCACTGCGTAAGTGTCGCTTGGCAACTCTTTCACGACAGGCCTCCTCTGACACATCTATCTTCCAGGTTTCATGACTCCTTTTTCCAGATAGATGCCTGTGGATCGTTGACCACGCCTTTATTTTCAACAGCAAATACAAGCCTTCTACAATGACAATTCTTGTTTCTGGCTGAATCACCGTACCGCGCGGAGTGGGGTCTTTCAATTCATGGTCAAAGGTGGGGATCGCAAGCAGCGGAATGCCCGTTTCCGCTCCCAGCAACGTCTGGAATAACCCAGGTTTACTATCCAGACCAAGGTCAACACAACAGGCCTGGAGTAGATCCACAAGCGTCACCACTAGGGTGGAGTCAAACGTCCATTCAGATCCTCGGCGGAAATGCGCCGAGGCCAGGTCAGAAAACTGATCTAGAACATTGCGTGGTAAATGAAACCCATCCATTGGGGCTACTTGCACGAAAGAAACCTCCGTATCACTTACGGGGGTGGACACCACATCGATTGCAGTAGCTTCAAGACCCCTAGCCCTGATGGTGGTCGTCTGGGTTGGCAAATCGACCACCTTATGGGGCTGTAATGCTTCATTCTCCGGGTCAATCACTGAGGCTGGATCGAACATGGGAATTCCCGATACAAGACTATTGGTGACTAAATCCCGTGGAGACGTGGCTTTTCCTGGAGGCTCCCGAAACCCATTTTCCCGGTGCATAACGTTGATTCTGCTTGCCACTTCGTGAGCCACTGAGGACTTTCCAGAGCCGGGCGTACCCACCAAGAAAACCAACACCCTGTACGTACCAGACGTTTCAAGCAATTGAAGGGCCCTGTTTGCCAAAGCTGTGTACGTTTTATCCATTACTAACAGCGGTATCGCAGAAAGTCTATAGCAGTGTCTTTTGCAATAAATTGCAGGATCTTTCACTAAAAGTGGTATATCTCGCAGGTAGCGGATACCACTAGCCAACCAAGAGAAAATACTATTGGTTGGTTTACGCACTATATATAACCAAGACGGTGAGGAGATCCTTATAAACCATAAGGATAGCTATATCGTGCCGCTCCATATGAAGGGAAGGGATTGGCCGAGCTGAAGGGCCTCTTTAACGCTGTGTAGCACTGCTACGGTGCAGTGCTCGCCGGTATCGGAATCACGTGCCGTCTGACTCTTTCTTTTCGCCCATTAATTAACATTCTTCTTCTTATACCCCTTTTCTCCCACCATCCACCATTGCCATGTTGCGTTCCATTCACCTCTCAAGAAGAGCTTTATCTGTAAGATTTAGCTCTACGTTGGCTTTCATCGAAGCATCCGGTGCCACCATCACCCCCTCCACATTGTCTGCGTTGACCGCGGCGCAACAGCTCGGGAAGCCGATCACAGCGGTCGTGACGGGCTCACAGGCTGCGGCGGTTACCGAAGAGGTGAAAAAGATCGCCTCTGTGTCCAAGATCTTGGTTGCCGCCGACGCCAAGTACGACCACTACTTTCCGGAGGAGCTTTCGCCATTGATACAGCAAATCCTTACCAACGCAGACTTTACCCACTTTGTGGTGGCAGCCTCCACCGTCGGCAAGAATCTCTTACCGCGCGTTGGTGCACTTTTGGACTTCCAGCCAATCAGTGACATTGTGAAGGTTGAGGCCCCAGACACGTTTGTTAGACCGATCTACGCCGGAAACGCTTTGGCCACTGTCAAGACTAGCGACAAGATCGTCTTGGCCTCTGTCAGAGGCTCCTCTTTCGCCCCAGTGGAGTTGACAGCGACCAACGAGACCCCAGTGGAGGAGGTTACCGCCGTTGCATCCGAGTGCCGCACCAGCTTCGTCTCCGAGGAGTTGGTTACTAGTGAAAGACCGGACTTGGCATCCGCCGTCAAAGTTGTTTCTGGTGGCAGAGGCTTGCAGTCCAAAGAGCAGTTTGATGCCATCATGGAGCCGTTGGCGAAGTCGTTGAACGCCGCTATTGGGGCTTCCAGAGCCGCGGTCGATGCTGGTTTCTGTGACAACTCCTTGCAGGTTGGCCAGACCGGGAAGGTTGTCGCGCCGGAATTGTACATTGCCGTTGGTATCTCCGGCGCCATTCAGCATTTGGCTGGGATGAAGGACGCCAAGACGATTGTCGCGATCAACAAGGACGAGGAGTCGCCGATTTTCACCGTTGCCGACATTGGTTTGGTCGGCGACTTGTTTGAAGTCGTTCCAGAGTTGACCCAGAAGATCGAGGCTAGTAAGTAGTTCTTACTGCGTTGAATTAGATAAATGAATATACGTAAATCAAGCATCAAGGTGGCCAGATGAGGAGTAGGAAAGGGGGGGCTGTTAGAGTCCTTCTACGGTAAGCTAGAACCAATAAAAGAGGCAAAAATGGACGAGTCAGGAGTCGAACCCGAGACCTTTCACATGCTAAGCGAACGCGCTACCAACTACGCCACACGCCCAATAATTGAGGATGTAAAGGTTATAAATGCCACCTATGAGGTCGTGAGTAGACTACGTGTGTCTACCAGGACTGATAGTGGCTTTCAAAGGCTTCTTTCTAACATGAGCGAGCGTCACATAGCAATCCAAGAGGAGGGAACTATAAATAGAGATTTAAGTGAAATTAAACCGTGCTGCAAGTCCAGGGGCTATATAAGGAAGTGGTTTCCCTCCGATCGGATATAAGTTTAGTTTAGGATTTTTCTTATTTTTGGAAAAAAAACAAAGACAATGATTGCCGCCGGCACCCATTTCTTCGTTTTCACCTTTTGCTTTTCAGTTTTGACATCTGCCGTATAATTGGTACCTCCCTCAGGCGGCACTGTGAACGGCATACCAAAATACTTGCATGTGACTGATAAGTATGTCCGAGTTTCTTAGGGCTTCAACCGGCATTGGAACCCTGACAGACCATAAGTTTTCATGGTCCATATCTGAGTTTTACCAGACACATACTATTATTAACTATCAGCGAAGGTATTCACGGTGCCCTGGACTATAACAAAAGATGGTCAGGTTAGAGATATACGTACCATGTATCTGTAGCTAACATGCATATTGAAATTTATTTTTGAACGCTAATTTTTGTACTAACGATTTGAATATTCCACCAGCACATTAGGTATATTCAAGACAGTACGTGTACCCAGACGCCAACTTTAGGTTTGCACGGGCGTAAATTATCCCTCTAAGAAATATATATCGACTTATTATTCATAATCTCAATTAAGGATGTCGCATTATTTCTAACAGTGGGTCTGAAGCTTTGATTTCTCGATCCCGATTCTCTAAAGTCTAGACAATATTGAGCAATCCACTACAATATACCAAAGATAAGCAGAAAACATAAATAAATTGAATAAAATCACTGTGCCCTCATAAAGGATCAGCACACACACCCAAGTTGCTCACAAAACTTGTAAAAAAAGAGAAACTTAAGTTTAAGTCAAGGCTTACTTTCTCGGTGGCAACTAAGGATAGGAGCCTGGAGCAGGTCCAAAATAACCCTTTGGCAAAATGCTGGTGTCAAGGCGTGATTGTTGCCCGACACCACCTTCGATTCCTCCTCCAGAAACAGTATTGCCCCACCAGGTAACGTCCTTCTCATGATACTGCACCGCAAAGAAGATAATGATCGAGGAAAACGCAACACCTGCACTAAGAGCAGAAGATAACACATAGTTGTATTTTTCCCACCAGTCACTGTACCGTCTCTTAATATGGTACATGAAGAAGAAACCAACAATTAAAGCCGGAGTGACAAAGGTCAAGTTGTAAGGAGCATAGATCGTGAAACCGCCAAGGATCAAGGTTGGCTGGAAAGCCCTAGTAACAGATTTTGGACCGTACCGCTTGAAGGCATAGCATGGGATTGGCAACAATGCTCCGATTAAGAAACACCACTTGAGGATTGGATACAACCCGTTGAAGACCCGCTTTGGTCCGATCACACCCCAAAGGACTGAAGCGGAGAAGAACGTTCTTTCAGCAGGACAAGAGAACTTTTGGGCTTGGTGAGAGGTACAAAGACCATCGACATTTGAAAGAACCCAGTTCATAACTCCCAACGTGACAAAGCATTGGATGAAAGTTGCCAACATCTGACCCCTGAAGAGAGCCATAGGTGGAATATTGGAGTAGTGTGCGGTCTTTTGATTCGTGATGTAGTTCTCAGCCTGACCATCAATATTGTAACCAATGGTCTTCAAGGTCATCAACGCCACACCGTTACCCGGAATGGCATACCCGACAATCAATTCCACGAGCACGTTCAAACCAAAGGAGAAACCAGTGACCGCGTAGATAACCACCAATGGAACCAAGAAAACAAGGTTAATAGCAAGGGCGAAGAAGATTCCCCAAATTGGAGTTTGGGCCGGGTACAACTTAACACAGAGAATACTCAACACAATAGAGAAAACCAAAACGGCAAGAAACCACCAGTCTGGGACCTCCTTATACTTGGACATCATTCTGCAGTGAGGGTCGTTGAACCCAGCAAAGTTGGATCTTTTGTAGTCCTTAAGTGAATACCATACCTGCCTAAAGGAAGCAGCCATCCCCGTCCATTCAATCATGGAGGTGTAAACAACCGAAAACGGATATATGGCAAAGTATGCACCATAAAGAACCAAGTTGGCAGCTGAATAGTAAGGCGGCGAGTAGGCTTGGTATTTGGCTTCATCAAAGACACCGTTTGTTAAGATCTCGGTAACCATAAATGGCTTCCCCGTGTTGGTGTACAACCCATTGGAATTAATTGGGAGGTATCCAGTCCAGAGATGATTGGACCAGTAGACTCCAATAATGCAGAAAAATGCGATAATAGAGCCAATATATATGTTAGCAATGGTATACCATGGAGTGGCAAGAGGGTGCTGAATGATCTGAGTCATATAATTCCAATCAAAAGTAGCGATAGGATTGAGACCTAAGCCGTAAACAGAGCCCGTGATAGCAGCTAAGTTGAAGTTGTTTGGAGCAATCCAGGTCATCCAGTTGAAGACGGATAATGCTGTAAAGAGATAGTCGGGAAACCAGAAGTACAAGAACATCCCGCCAAAGACAATATAGAAAAAGTTAAAACGGGAAACCTTCCAGCCATTGATAATTTGAAGCTTCTCATCCTTCAACATAGCCCTGTTCAACGCCAAGGTTGGCAACAAGGTTGGCCACATGGCACGAACAGGGTAAACACTAATTTTGCGCATGATACCGGCAAACCCAAATCCCATGAATTGGGTACTCAAAATCAACAAAACCTGATATCCAAAGCTGACCCACGTGAAACCGTAAAACTGATCCAGTTTAAGGGATATAATGTTATAGGAAACGTAAGAACTGCCTACGCCAACAGAAATGCAGATAGTAGCAAACATCTGTTCTTTGTAGGTGTATGGACCAGGATTAATAGTGTAGCGTTGACCCTTAATGGTGAATCCCCAAT